AAAAATGGAACTCCCGGAGAAACTAAGATGGCGGCATAGATAAACACCGGGAAATTTCTGCTTCCCACAACAATCGATAAATGCATCAAAAACACAAGGTGGACATCATCCAGAGCTACAGGAGGGCTGGCTGAGTGTAAATTCTACAACTAGAAGGAGAGAAAAGCACACTGCGAGCGGGAGGAGCTGCGGAGGTGGCGTGCAGAGGTACGAGGGCTCGCGCGCGCGCGCGCGCGCGCGCGCGCGCGCGGAAAGGGTCTGGCACCTGAGGACGCGGCTGTCTTTTTGAATCCGGAGGGAGACACAAGCTCCCGACGGCTCTGAAATCCGGTTCCGGGAAGTCTCTGGGGACCCAGGGCTCATACGGGGAAATACTGGACTGTCTGGCAGCGGGCGAGCTTGAGAGCGGCTTTCCCTCAGAGGTGCTTGCAGCCGTTGCCGGGACACTGGGACTCGCGACTCCTTAGGGCAGGGCTGAGGCTCCGCCATAGCTGCTTTCTCAGCCCTTTGATTCCTTGAGACCCCGCCCCACCCAGGCTGCGGCAGAGGCTTTTGCATATGAATGCCCCGGCCATTTGCAACCTGTAATTACCTAACCGCAGCCGGGCCAGATAGACTCAGAGCTTCCAAGAGAAGGCCCAGGCCCCACAGCGGCTTGCATTGCTACACAGCTGAGCATCATCAGGGCAGCTGATTCTCGCTGCCAATTGCCCTGGAGGTCAATTCCTCCCAGTGATCCTACAACAACCAAGGCATAGCTACAACAAGACTGTGCACAAAGCCCACGAGGGGGTGCACCAAGAGTGTCCACCTCAGGTAACTGGGGAGGCTGAGCTACTGGGCCCTACAGGACACCTAGCACACAAAGCCACTCTATCAACACAGGGAAGCAACCAAAATGCGGAGACAAAGAAACAGGTCACAAATGGCAGAAATGGAGGAAAGCAAACGATTGGATATAGAGTTTAAGGCCACGGTTATAAGGTTTTTCAAGAATTTTATGGAAACCGCCGATAAATTTAATGAATCCCTCAATAAGTATAGGGAGACCATGGAGGACATGAAAAAGGACCAACTAGAAATTAAGCATACACTGACTGAAATAAAGAATAATTTACAGAGATCCAGCAGCAGAAAAGAGGATCCCAAGAATCAAGTCAAAGATTTGAAATACAAAGAAACAAAAAATACCCAACCGAAAAAGAAAAAAGAAAAGAGATTCCAAAAATATGAAGATAGTGTAAGGAACCTCTGGGACAACTTCAAGCGTACCAACATCAGAATTATAGGGGTACCAGAAGGAGAGAGAGGGCAAGATATTGAAAACCTTTTTGAAGAAATAATGACAGAAAACTTCCCCTACCTGGTGAAAGAAATGGACTTACAAGTCCAGGAAGCGCAGAGAACCCCAAACAAAAGGAATCCAAGGAGGACCACACCAAGACACATCATAATTAAAATGCCAAGAGCAAAAGATAAAGAGAGAATCTTAAAAGCAGCAAGAGAAAGACAGTCAGTTACCTACAAGGGAGTACCCATACGACTGTCAGCTGATTTCTCAACAGAAACCATGCAGGCCAGAAGAGAGTGGCAAGAAATATTCAAAGTGATGAATAGCAAGAACCTGCAACCAAGATTACTTTATCCAGCAAAGCTATCATTCAGAATAGAAGGTCAGATAAAGAGCTTCACGGATAAGAAAAAGCTAAAGGAGTTCATCACCACCAAACCAGCATTATATGAAATGCTGAAAGGTATTCTTTAAGAAGAGGAAGAAGAAAAAGGAACTCTTACCATTTGCCACAGCATGGATGGAACTGGAGAGCGGATAAATACCACAGGATCTCACTCATTTGTGGAATATAATGAACAACATAAGCTGATGAACAAGGACTGATCCAGAGACGGAGAGGCATTGATTGGACTGTCGGGACTTGGAGGGAAGGTAGGGGAGGGTGGGGGTAAGGGGGAAAGATCAACCAAAGGACTTATATGCAAGCATATAGGCCTAACCAATGGACATGGACAACGGGGGGGTGAGGGCATGAGCGGGGGTGGGGGGCGTGGGGGGTAGAGGGTAACGTGGGGACAAGGACACATATGTAATATCTTAATCAATAAAAATATATTAAAAAAAAAAAAATGGAACTCCCATTTAACCCAGAAATCCCACTTCTAGGACTATATCCCAAGAAATCAGAAAGGACATATGCACCCCTATGCTCATAGCAGCACAATTTTCAATAGCTAAGATTTAGAAACAGCTTAAGTGCCCATCAGCAGATGAGTGGATTAAAAAACTGTGGTACATCTGCACAATGGAATACTACACTGCAGTAAAAAGAAGGAATTCTTACCATTCACAACAGCATGGATGGACATGAAGAGCATTATGCTAAGTGAAATAAGCCAGAGAAAGACAAATATCACATGATCTCACTCATTTGTGGAATATAATGAAAAACATAAACTGATGAACAAAAATAGATCCAGAGACAGAGAAGCATGGAACAGACCATCAAACCTCAGAGGAAAGGCAGGGGAGAGGAAGGAGTGTAAGAGATCAACCAAAGGACTTGTATGCATGCATATAAGCATAACCAATGGACACAAACACTAGGGGGTGAGGGCATGTGCTGGGGAGTAGGAGTGGCCAGGGAGAGGTAAAGGGGGGGAAAAGGAGACATCTGTAATACTTTAATCAATAAAGAATAAAAAATTTTTTAGAAGAGGTTAGCACCAGAAAGTGCGTCTACCTCTCGGGCAGGCAGGATAGCAGCAGGTGGACAATTTGTCGATTTTGTTTACCTTTGGAAAAACCAGCCCTTCCTTTCCATAATTTTTGCTATGGCTTTTACCTGGTCTCTATTTCATTGATTTCTACACTGATCTTTATTATTTTCTCCTTCTGCTAACTTGATCTCTTTTCCCCTTCTTTTTGTAGTCCCTTGAGGGGTACTGTTAGGTTGTTTGAGATTCTTTCTCTCAATGTAGCTATTTATGATTTTCAACTTCCCTCTTACATCTGTTTTGCTGCATCCCATACATTTTAGCTTGATGTGTTTCCATTTTCATTGGTTAAAAATATTGATTTCTTTTATAAAAAAATATTTTTTTATTGATTTCAGAGAGGAAGGGAGAGGGAGATAGAAATCAATGATGAGAGAATCATTGATTGCCTGCCTCCTGCATGTCCCCTACTGAGGATAGAGACCGCAATCCAGGCATATGCTCTTGACTGGAATAGAATCCAGAACCCTTCAACCTGCAGGCTCACACTCTATCCACTGAGCCAAACCGTCTAGGGCTATTTGGTTTCTCTTTTAACCTATAAGTGTTGAGGAGTGTGTTGCTTACTTTTCTTCACATAGTTGTCAATTTTTCATCTTTTATCCTATTATTGTCCTCATTGTCTTATCACTGTGGTCACATGTGATACAGGCTATTATTTCAATTTTTTAAATTTACTAAGATATGTTTTGTGACCTAACATATGATCTATCCTGGAGATGTTCCCTGTGTACCTCAGAAGAATGTATATTCTGATGCTGTTGGATGGAATGGTTCAAGTCCAAAGTTTTCTAGGTGATTCTCCATCCATTGTCAAAAGTTAGGTGTTGAAGTTTCCTACTACTATTGTATTGTGGTTTATGACTACCTTTAGGTCTGATAGTGTTTGCTGAATATATTTAGGTGCTCCAATTTTGCGTGCCATATATATGGGAAATTGTTACATTTTTATTTTTTTATTTTTTTATTTTTAAATATATTTTATTGATTTTTTACAGAGAGGAAGGGAGAGAGATAGAGAGTCAGAAACATCGATGAGAGAGAAACATCGACCAGCTGCCTCCTGCACATCCCCCACCGGGGATGTGCCCGCAACCCAGGTACATGCCCTTGACCGGAATCGAACCTGGGACCCTTCAGTCCGCAGGCCGACGCTCTATCCACTGAGCCAAACCGGTTTCGGCTACATTTTTATTTTTAATATATTTTTATTGATTTCAGAGAGGGAGAGGGAGAGATAGAAACATCAATGATGACAATCATTGATTGGCTGCCTCCTGCATGCCCCATCCTGGGGATTGAGCCTGCAACCCAGGCATGTGCCCTTGACCAGAATCGAACCCTGGACCCTTCAGTCTGCAGGCCGACACACTATCCATCCACTGAACCAAGCCAGCTAGGGCTGGTTCTATTTTCTTGATGAAATGATCCTTTTATCATTATATAATGACCATGTTTTTTGGCCTCTTATTACAGCTTTTGAATGAAGTCTATTTTGTGTGATTAATTATAGCTACTCCTGCTGAATTTTGGTATCTACATTCGTAAGTTATTTTTTCCACCCTACACTTTGACTCTGTGCTCTTAAATCTGGAGTGTCTCTTGTAAGCAGCATATAGCTGTGCCCTGTTGTTTTTTCCTCCCTTTAATCTATTCAGCCAATCAATGTCTTTTGATTAAAGAATTCAATTTGTTTACATTGAGGCTAATTACTGATAGGTCAGGACTTGTTAAAATTTTCTAGTTGTCCTGTACTTCCCTTGTTCCTTTCTTCCACTATAGCGACCTTTTAGGAAGTAATGATTTTCTAGACTGTCATGCTTTGACTTCCTATTCATTTTTTGTATCTACTGTGGGTTTTTCATTTGTGGTTACCCTGAGGTAACCACGACAAAACCATTTTATAGACATAATAGTGTATTTTACACTAACTTTGATTGTATAAAAAAACTTTACCTTTTTATCTGCCCTTCCACATTTTGTTTTTTTGCTTTTTGTTTTTTTTAATATATATTTTTTATTGATTAAGATATTACATATGTGTCCTTATCCCCACGTTACCCCCTACCCCCCTACCCCCCCCGCTCATGCCCTCACCCCCCTGTTGTCCGTGTCCATTGGTTAGGCCTATATGCTTGCATATAAGTCCTTTGGTTGATCTTTCCCCCTTACCCCCACCCTCCCCTACCTTCCCTCCAAGGCCTGACAGTCCAATCAATGCCTCTCCGTCTCTGGATCTGTCCTTGTTCATCACAACCTGGGAGCCCTCGGGGGATGTCCAACTGACAGTTTAGGCCCGCTCCCCATGGACATCCTAAGAGCTGCCACGGAAGTGGGAGAGGTTCCCGCCACCGCCGCTGCGTTCACCAGCAGTGAGCCCGGCTTCTGGGCTTCTGGCTGAGCAGTGCTCCCCCTGTGGAGCACACTGACCACCACGGGCAGCTCCTGAGTTGAGCGTCTGGCCCCTGGTGGTCAGTGCGCGTCACAGAGATGGGTCGTTCCACAGTCCATCGATCTGCATATTACCCTTTTATTATATAGGATATGATAAAATATTATGAAGATGCAGAAATAAAAAAATAGGGCTTCTAATCATACTTTTTAAGATTTTGTTCAATTAGCATTTGTAAGGAAAGCCCACTGGTACTGGATGGTGTCCAGCAGTTACTCAAAATCCTACAGAAAAATTGGAAATAAAAGTTTATAACTCACAAGCATGGAGGAAGTACACAGCATGCCTGCAGGGGCTAACACAGGCAGGACAAGACAGGATGCAGGAAGAGAGTGGCAGTACACAGAGTGTAGGCTTGTATTAGGATCACTATGTGGAGTGCCATGGGATTCTTGAGCTAGGTCCAGATTGTTCAACTCAAAGCATAACCAGCAAGGTTTGGCTAGCTCTTCAGAAATCTTACATAAGGGGCATACAAACTGAAGGCTTTGGGGTGCACAAAAGACTCCACAAGGACTGCTGGAGAAGTCCTATCAAAAACTTACATTCATTTGTGACACTGTAAGCTGGTGCCTGTATACACTAGGGATTCATGGGAGTTCAGTTCTTTACTTAACTACACAAAATAAATGATAATGCTGAAACACCACAGACTTTTACATAAACTCACAACAATACTCCCACTACATATTTTTTTGTAACCATCATAATTTCCCAGCAGGTACAATGAATAAAAAAATAAATTATGGGTAAACTCTTCACACATTATTTAAGGTTTAAGGCCTGTGAGTAAATGTCATTCCACTGCATTACAAATTGTTACCCACAATGGTGAATAGGGTGGTAAACATTAACACTGATGGCATGTCAACACCTCATTCATTACACATCACTGGTAACATATTTCAATTACTTCATCTTTATTAATGAACATATTAAGTCCACACATAGTCTAAATAAAGTATTGCAAGCACAATATATTGCCTAGGGTTGAAATACACATTACAAGCATTCAAAGATCATGAAATGAATTGAGATAGAAATCACATGAATACTTTTGTTTAAAAAAAGCCACAAACTTTTATAACTGTTGTAACAAAAAAGAATTCAGTGGAGACAATTACATTTGTCCTAATATTCATCCCCTTGCTATTCTGATTTACACTAAAAAATCATGTAACTTTCATTACTAGATTCTCTAAAATAAGTATTCTGATTTAAAGTCATATTTGAAAAGTGTTACTGACTTACTACTTTCTACTGTGAATTCTCTGATGTTATACATTTAATTTTATTAAAGTCACTTCCAAGCACAAATGCTGTGGGGTTTTCTGAAGTATGTATTGTGAGGAAATATTTTTTACCATTTATATCAAAGGTAGAATTTCTCATGAGTATGCATTCTCTGATATGAAGAAAGATTGTAGGTTCAGGTATAGGGTTTGCACATTCTTTAACATTTTAAGTTTTTCTCCAGTAAGAATACTCATGTGGCAGTTAAGATGTACCTATAAATGCTGAAAACAATATTTGCTGAACATTTTATATTTGCATGGCTTCTCTCCACTATAAATTCTCTAAAGCAGCGGTCGCCAACCGGTAGTCCACGGACCACTGGTGGTCCATGAGGTTTGAAAGGTTGGCAACCGCGGCTCTAAAGAACACTGAGGCTTCAGCAATGGTAAAAGGTTTTGCCACATTGTTTATATTTGTATTCTTTCAGTAAAGCATAAATTATGTGATATTGATTAAGGTTTCAACACTGGGTAAAGGTGTTATCAAATTCTCTGCATTGTTAGCGTTCTCTCTGGTATGATATTTAGTGAGCTTTGGGCAATGGTTGGAATTTTTTCCATATTCTTTATATTTATACTAGAGGCCCAGTGCACAGAATTTGTGCACTGGAGTGGGGGGGGGGTCCTTAAGCCCGGCCAGTGCCCTCTCACAGTCCAGGACCCCTTGGGGGATGTCCACCTGCTAGCTTAGGCCTGCTCCACACGGGGAACAGGCCTAAGCCAGCAGTCGGATATCCAACTCGCAGTCCAGGACCGCTCACTACTTACCACCTGCCTGCTCACTGCTTCTTACCACTTGGCTCGCTGCTCCTCAACGCTGCTGCGGAGGAAGGAGAGGCTCCCACCACCACCACTGCGCTTGCAAGCCATGAGCCTGGCTTCTGGCTGAGGAGTGCTCCCCCTGTGGGAGTGCACTGACCACCAGAGAGCAAGCTCCTATGTTGAGCATCTGCCCCGTGGTGGTCAGTGAGCATCATAGCAGCCAGTCCTTCTGGATGTTCTGCTGTAAAAGTTGCTTAGGCTTCTATTACATAGATTGTTTCTATTCTCTATGAATTTCCCAATATTGAGTACAGCTATAGCAAGGTTAAAGGCTTTGTCATACTCTTCACATTTGTAAAGATTCTCTCAGGTATGCATTCTCATATCTTTGGTAAGATTTGAGCAATGGGTAAAGGCTTTGCCACATTCTGTGTTTCTAAGGCTTCTCCATAGCTGAGTCCTTTGATGCTATAAATGTTTAAATATGATGTGAAGGCATTTTGACATCTACACATTTATAAGGGTTTGTGTCCTGAGTGATTTCTCTGATGTTTGGAAAAGGCTGAATACCAGCTAAAGACTTTGCCACATTCTGTACATTTATAGGGTTTCTCTCCAGAATGAATATTCTGATGTTGAGTAAGATGTGAGCCCCGGGTAAAGGTTTTGCCACATTCTCTACATTTATAGGGCTTTTCCCCACAATGAATTTTCTGATGTTTAGCAAGTTGTGAACTCTCGATAAAAGCTTTGCCACATTCTCTACATGTATAAGGCTTCTCGCCAGAATGAATTCTCTGATGTTGAGTAAGATTTGAGTTCCGGGTAAAGGTTTTGCCACATTCTCTACATTCATAAGGCTTCTCTCCAGTATGAATTCTTTGATGTTTGGAAAAGGCTGAATACCAGCGAAAGGCTTTGCAACATTCTCCACATTTATATGGCTTCTCTCCAGAATGAATATTCTGATGTTGATTAAGATGTGAGCCCCGGGTAAAGGCTTTGCCACATTCTCCACATTTATATGGCTTCTCTCCAGAATGAATTTTCTGATGTTTAGTAAGCTGTGAGCCCTGGGTAAAGGCTTTGCCACATTCTCTACATGTATAAGGCTTATCTCCAGAATGAATCCTCTGATGTTGAGTAAGATTTGAGCTCCGGATAAAGGTTTTACCACATTCTCTACATTTATAAGGCTTTAGTCCAGTATGAATTCTCTGATGATGGCTAAGGTTTGAACAGTGGCTAAAAGCTTTGCCACATTCAGTACATTTATAAGGCTTCTCTCCAGAATGAATTATCTGATGTCGAGTAAGATGTGAACTCTGGATAAAAGTTTTGCCACATTCTCTGCATTTATAAGGCTTCTCTCCAGAATGAATGATCTGATGCCGAGTAAGATGTGAGCTCTGGATAAAAGCTTTGCCACATTCTCTACATTTATAAGGCTTCTCTCCAGTATGAATTCTCTGATGTAAAATAACATTTGCCTGCCACTTAAAGGCTTTATCACATTCTTTGCATTTGTAAGGCTTCTCTGCAGTATGGATTTCCTTATGTATATTTAACTTAGAAGACTGACTAAACACTTTCACGTAGTGATTACACGGGAGAGACTCCTCCTCAATATGGGTACTTTTATGTTCAGTAAGATTTGATGATTGCTTGGAAGACTTGGCACATTCACTAAAACTTTCTGTCTTTACAGTATGAATACTCTGAGGTATAAAAATATTTGACCTTTTTTCAAAGACTTTAGGACATTTATGCTTGTTCTGTGGAAGCTGAGCTTTTTGATGGTTATTAGAATTTGACCCTTGGTTAAAGTTTTTCTGAGATTCATTACATTGGTGACTTCTCTCTTCATTATATGTACTCTGATAATAATTTAAGAGAGAAAAACTTTTAGTGAGGACTCTAATATCATTGCACATGTACAATTGTTCTCAATTACCTATTCTGATACCATGACGGTTGTGTGTATATATATATATCCTCCCATAGTTATGAAAATTATAGATTCTGGAAAAAGAAATATTTTCCCATGAAACAATAATACAAAATTGGTTAAGGGGTTTACAAATTCATTTATAACTTATATCTTCATTTTTAAAATATGTCAGTTTTAGAAATATTTGACTGTTTAATCAAATGCTACATTAATTCATTCAAAAATTATTTGCAAAATGGACTAGGTGACTTTTCTGATATTAGAAATTTTACTTCAGAGAATATGTATTCATTTATTTATATTAATTTTCATATGAGGACATGCTTATTGATTTTTAGAGAGAAAGAAAGGGGGGAGGGAGAGAGAGAGATGAAGAGAAATTGATATGAGAGGGAAATATGGATCAATTACCTCCTGCCTACACCCAGACCAGAGATAGAACCCTAAATCTACATGTCTTCCAACCAGCACTGAACCCACAACATTTCTAGGTGACACTTCAACCAACTGAGCCACAGCAGCCAGAGCAGAGAATATATACTTTTAAAATTTTTTCATTATTTGCCACATCTGCTATATCTTACCTGTAACATTTTCTGGAATGACACTTCTACACCTGACTTTGGCAACAAACCCTGGGTGACTTGAGAAGATATAGCTGAAATATAACAAATTAATTATAAAATACACGCAGGTAAATATTCTTTAAATTTTAATGTACAGAATTAATACCTGTAAGAAGACTTCAGTGAGACAGAAGAACAGGAAGCACAAAAACTTTCTTCCTCCATGGAAATGTTAACTTACCAACAATTACTGATCCAATTACCTTCTAAAGTACTTCAGAAGCCAGTTCAAAGACCACAATACCCACCAGAAAGCACAAAATAAAAAAGTCATATCAAAGAGGGAAACCAGTTACATTTACCCACAATACCTGCTCACCCTTCTGACCCAGGAATGGGAAAATATCATGGGCTCTAAATAAAAGCAAAATATGTTTTAAACTGGAAAGTTACACAAAACTCACACACGCAGGCTTCTGGTCTCGATGGAGGTGTAGGTAACTGTGGCACTGGCAACCTCCCACAACCACATAAAAAAAAATACAACTGGACTACAGGAAAACCATCTCTCAGAACTGACTGAAACCTAACTGAATGAAGTTCTAAAACTAAGGACATAAAGAAGGCTTATCCAGACTGGTAGGAGGTGCAACATCACAGAATGGACTGGGCTCACATGGTGGATAAAAATCACCAGTGGCATATCGGCTTCAGAGGTTGCATCTGAGGAGTGAAGGGTCACAGCCCACAGAAGGCCCTCAAGCGTCGGGTTCCAATGCCAAGAGAGATGTTCCTATTACTCTGGCTGTAAAAACTAGCAAGGATTGTGGTTGAGTGAGACGGAGAGCTGATGGAGTCCTAGGCAATTCCTCTTAAAGGGCTCACGCTCTGACTTATTCAGATTCATGCCCTGTGAGCTCCAGTGCTGTGGCAGCAGCTTGAATGGCACCAGGGACATACAGGTTGGACCTGAAGGATGAGAGCTGTAGAAGGAGCTTTCTCCCAGGCATAAGTCTTGGTAGAAGCCATTGTTTCTTTTCTGAGCCTTTCACCCACATAGCTGGCAAACAGGAGCCACAGCTGAGTCTCCATCAATTTGGCTCACACTTTTCACCACACCCTGAAGATTTCCTGACACCTCACCCCATCAACATGTGGGACCACCAAAGCTGTTTCCAGTGGCTATTCCATACAAACAGCCTAAATTGTCTTATGCTTCAGTCTTTACAACAATGTCTTAAACAAGCAGGATCTGGCCCCAGTGTACCCCCCATAACTCTCGCTAAGTGGCCCCAGCACGGAAACTATGTAATGTCTAATTATTGGGATGTACACCTGAAACTAATATAATATTATATTGGCAACTACAATTGAAAAATTTTTTTAATGAGTTACACACACACACACACACACACACACACACACACACACACCAATTACACTTTCCAGAATAGGTGTGACAGGCCTTTAAAAACCTACCACAGCTGATAGTTATTTTTGTTTTCCTGTATAAATCAAGTTTATAAAGAATGGGATCGCAACAAAAGATCACAAGGCTTATGAAGAAACAGAAAAGCAATCCAACCAGAGGGACAAAATAAATCTCCATAAGTTGGCCCTAATTTAATAAACATATGTTAATTACCTGACAAAGATAAGAAAAAAAAACCTTTAAAAGGGCTCAATTGAAAAAAACATAAAAAACTATTGCCATCACAATTAGGCATGACAATAATAAAAATGCAAGCAGACAGAAAGTATAAGAAAGAACCAAACAGATATTGGGAACTGAAGAATATAGTTAGTATCTGAATGAAATATACAATAGAAACATTAGGAAAAGACTTGATCAAGCAAAAGGAAGGATAAGACAACTTGGACACTGACCCACAGTGTTCCTGGGATGTGGGAACCAAATTACAGTATCTCAACCACTTCCCTCCCAAATTACTCAGAGGCAGAAAACAGAACTTTAAAACTAGTTTAATTTAAAATTCCTCAGCAACATGCACAGACTTCCCCAAGTTCACCAAGAAATCCAATAGTAGCCAGGTCATGCCACCCTTACACTGTTACAGGAGGACTTTGGCTCTCACTGCAAATGTGATGGAAGCAGAAAGAGAATCCTTAGATGATGATGGAGAGGATCTGTCCCTCGAAGCCAGAAATAGAAATAATCGTGACCCTCTCGAAAATCAGTCCCATTGAAGCAGATGTTTCCAAACCATTATATAATACCCGATCTTCGGCCTCTCACCTGGATCATCTATTTCCTTGATTTCCACCTACCTGGCTGGATGGGTATTGTCTTTTTTCCCTTCAACTCCCAGGGCTCCTTCATGTGCTCCAAAAAGGTGAGTAGGTCTGGCTTAGACACACCTGTTTATTAGAAAAAGGAACATGGGCCATAGCCAGTTTGGCTCATTGGGTAGAGTGTCATCCTGGGGACTGAAGGGTCCCTGGTTTGATTTTGGTCAAGGCCACATGCCTGGGATGCAGGCTCAATCCCCAGTAAGGGATGTGCAAGAGGCAGCCAATCAATGATTCTCTCTTATCACTGATATTTCTACCTCTCTCTCCCTCTCTCTTCCTCTCTGAAATCAAATAAAAATATATTAAAAACAACAACCAAAAACTTACAAAAAAAAAAGAAACATGGGTTCAATGGAGAATCTCCAATTTCCAATCAGCTCTGTGCTCAAGTAAGAAGAAAGGACATTGTAGAATACCAGAATATCATAAAAAATTATTTTCCAAAATATTATTTTCTGACAGAACCTTTAACTATACTGGAGACAACATTTAAAGTTTTCAAATCTTGAGTTCCACTTCCAAATACATCAGGAAGCCTTTTTGTTCTGCACCAGCAAAACCCCAATTTCTTTCCTTAATAACACGGATCTGAAACTCTATTATAAAAGCAGAAGCTACAAGCAGACACTGTGCTAATGAAGACAACAACACCCTGCGGGTGGAGGAGAAATTCTGGAAGGACGTGGTCCTCACCCAGGAATACCAGGTTCCTGTAGTTCTGCAACATCACGTCCATGTACAGTTTCCGCTGAGCTGGGTCCAGGCACGCCCACTCCTCCTGAGAGAATTCTATGGCCACATCACTGAAGGTCAACTGCCCCTGAAATTAAAAGGAAATTAAAAGAAAAGCATTAATCAATTGACCATGGGCAGAGGTCATAAGGTCACCCAAAATGAAAAGTTAATAGAACCAGTTTAGACTTAGGACAGTATCCTGAGTTATCCAACAGCATCACTTTGACATTAATATTCTCTAATGTATTTTTAGAAAGGAAGATGGCATATGATCCACAAAACCACAGTAGAAGTTTTACTTTTCTGAAAGATAAATTTTAAAAATACAGGCATCAACACAGGCATATCCATTTTTGAGTGCTATGTTTGAATCACAGAGGATCAACTGTACATATTTCTTAGCTGGAGAAGTCATTTTGAGTGAGCACAGTGTAGCACTTTTAAAATTTTAATGAGCTTCTTTTCCAAGGAAACACCAAATGGCGGATGACACCAGGGCAGAATAGGAGGTCTCTGGGGTTTCCATGGAGGATTTGGCTTCGGCATCCGGGGCCGGGGTGGCCGCCGGGATCAGGGCAGTGGCTGAAACCGCGTAGCTCATGGAGGCAAGGCTGAGGGCAAGTAGTGGATCACTTATCACCAAGCTGGCCGCTTGGTCAAGGGCATGAAGATCAAATCCCTAGAGGAAAGCTATCTATTCTCCTTGCCCATCAAGGAATCTGAGATCATAGACTTTTTCTTGGGGGCATCCCTCAAGGATGAGGTCTTGAAGATTATGCCTGTGCAAAAGCAGACAAGTGCTGGCCAGAGGGCCCAGTTCAAGGCATTTGTCGCCATTGGACATTTTGGTCTGTGTGTTAAGTGCTCAAAGGAAGTAGCCACTGCCATCCGTGGAGCCATTATCCTGGCCAAGCTCTCTATTGCGCCCGTGCGGTGAGGCTATAGGGGAAACAAGATTGGCAAGACCCACACCGTTCCTTGCAAGGTGACTGGCCGCTGTGACTCTTTACTGGTGCGCCTCATCCCTGCCTCCAGGAGTACGGGCATTGTCTTGGCCCCTGTGCCTAAGAAGATGCTGATGATGGCTGCTATTAACGACTGCTATACCTCGGCCAGGGGCTGCACTGCCACCCTGGGCAACTTCGCCAAGGCCACCTCTGATGCCATCTCTAAGACCTACAGCTATCTTACCCCAGATCTCTAGAAAGAGACTGTGTTCACCAAGTCTTCCTATCAGGAATTCACTGGCCATCTTGTAAAGACCCCACCAGAGTTTCTGTGCAGAGGACCCAGGCTCCAGCTGTGGCAAACACATAATTTTATACAAGACAAATAAAGTGAATTAAGCCTGCTAAAAAATAAAATAAATAAATAAAATATTAATGAGTTCTGGGTGGGGCCTAAATTTACATATGTTTAACCAGCTCACTTATAACTATGGATGCCAATGTGCTGGTACGTGTCCCATACCTTTGGATACCACAGAAGAAGAAAACACAGGAAAAAAGTTCATATACAAGATTTTGACTGAACAATTTTATGGGCTTTACAGGTCTCATAGATTAGTAAGCCCATCAACCACAGCTGTTTTAACATTTATATATTAATTAATAAATCTCAAAAGTATTCAAAGAACAATAACATTCTTGTTCATTTTTTTAAAAATGTTTTTATTGATTTTTAGAGAGAGAGAAAGGGGGAAGGACAAAGAAACAGAAATGTCGATGAGATAGAAACATCAATGAGCAGACTCCTGCATGCCCCCTACCAAGGATTGAGCCCTGAACCCGGGCATGTGCCCTAACCCGGGAATTGAACCAGTGATTTCTCAGTGCATGGGTCAATGCTCAACCAAGTGAGCCATGGCTATTCATCCTTTTTAAGGAAAATATTTTGTAAGATATCCATAAAATGGTAGAGCCTGGGTGTTATTCCAAACTTTACTTCGAATTTGTCAAAAAGATCACAGAGCAGTACACAGACACAACCCTCATGAATGTACACAGCTGTTGTAACTGTAAAGAATACAAACAAGAAGGTACGAAGAAAGAACAGGGCAAATAATGTTAACATTTTTGCAAAGAGGCAGACATAAAAATGGAAACTATGTACACATTATATGCAACACAAAATAAAATGTTCATGTCAATAAAATTACCTGAAATAAAATCAACATTAATGTCAATGTGCCAATGTCACAAATCTCTTTGTGAATGATTGTATTTTATAAACACAAAAGGGAGGTAAACACACCATGATAAAAAATATTAGCGTTATTACTTCTTAGCCTTTTATTTATTTGATAAAAGTTATCTTTAGTGCTGATCTGTACTTTATAAATTTAACACACTTGAACATCCATTACTATGATGCTTGTAAACATTTTTGAAAATACAAAGCAGTGATAAAGAAGAGTGTATCTGTGACAAGTCGGTGAAATACAATAAAAATTTACAGGTCTGGGGCTAAGGGAGTTTATCACCACCAAGCCAGCAATGCAAGGAATGCTAAAGGGACTGGTATAAAAATAAGAAATTAAAAGCTCAGAAAGAAAACAGCCACACAAAAACAGAAATGCCTACAAACAACTACCTTTCAATAATAACTTTAAACGTAAACGGACTAAATGCTCCAAACAAAAGACATCGAGTGGCTGAATGGATAAAAAAACATGACCCATACATCTGCTGTCTACAAGAAACCCACCTCATTAGAAGGGACTCACACAGACTGAAAGTGAAAGGATGGAAAAATATCTTTCAGGCAAATGGAAAGGAAAAGAAAGCTGGGGTAGCAATACTTATATCGGACAAAATAGACCTCAAAGTGAAGGCCATAACAAGAGATAAGGAAGGCCACTTCATAATACTAAAGGGATCAATACAACAAGAAGATATAATCCTGGTAAACATATATGCACCCAATGCAGGAGCACCCAAATTCATAAAAAAACTCCTGGAAGATATCAAAGGAGACATCGACAACAATACAATCATAGTAGGGGACTTTAATACACCACTGACAGCACTGGATAAGTCCTCTAGACAAATAATCAGCAAAGATACAGCAATCCTAAATGACTCACTAGATCAGATGGACTTAATAGACATCTTCAGAACACTTCACCCGAAAGCCAGGGAATATACATTCTACTCAAATGCTCATAGGACATATTCAAAAATAGACCATATATTGGGTCACAAGCAAAGTATCCCCAAATTCAAGAAAATTGAAATCATAAAAAGCGTCTTCGCAGACCACGATGGCATAATATTAGAAATAAACTACAATAAAAACAACCCAAAATACTCAAACACCTGGAAGCTGAATAGCATGCTATTAAATATTGATTGGGTTACCAATGAAATCAAAGAAGAAATTCGAAACATCCTGGAAACTAATGACAATGAAAACACAACAATCCAAAACCTATGGGACACAATGAAAGCAGTCCTGAGAGGGAAGTTTATAGCTCTACAGGCCTATCTCAAAAAACAAGAAAAAATGGTAGTAAATCATCTAACTCTACAACTCAAAGAATTAGAAAGAGAGCAACAAGAAAACCCCAGAGTGAGCAGAAGGAAGGAGATAATAAAGATTAGAGCAGAAATAAATGACATAGAGACCAAAAAAACAATACAGAAAATCAATGAAACCAAGAGCTGGTTCTTTGAAAGGATAAACAAGATTGACAAACCTCTAGCCAGACTCACCAAGAAGCAAAGAGAGAGGACCCAAATAAACAAAATCAGAAACGATAGAGGCGAAATAACAACAGACCCCACAGAAATACAAATGATTGTTAAAAAATACTATGGACAGCTCTACTCCAACAAACTAGACAACCTGGAGGAAATGGACAAATTCCTAGAAAAATACAACATTCCAAAACTCAATCAGGAAGAATCTAAAAATCTCAACAGGCCAATAACTATGGAAGAAATTGAAGCAGTCATCAAAAAGCTTCCAGCAAACAAAAGCCCAGGACCAGACGGCTTCACAGGGGAGTTTTACCAAACATTCAAGGAAGAACTAAAACCTATCCTCCTCAGACTACTACAAAAAATTCAAGAGAAAGGAACACTTCCAAGCTCATTCTATGAAGCCAGCATCACCCTAATACCAAAACCAGGTAAAGACAACACAATGAAAGAGAATTACAGGCCAATATCCCTCATGAACATAGATGCCAAAATCCTCAACAAAATCTTAGCAAATCGGATCCAGCAGTACATCAGAAAGATCATACACCATGACCAAGTAGGATTTATCCCAGGGATGCAAGGATGGTACAATATCCGCAAATCAATAAACGTGATACATCACATAAACAAATTGAAAGAAAAAAACCACATGGTCATATCAATTGATGCAGAAAAAGCATTTGACAAAATTCAACACCCATTTTTGATAAAAGCTCTCAGCAAGGTGGGAGTAGAAGGATCATACCTCAACATAATAAAAGCCATATATGACAGGCCCACAGCCAACATCATACTCAATGGACAAAAACTAACACCATTTCCCCTAAGAACAGGAACAAGACAGGGATGCCCCCTCTCACCACTCCTGTTCAACATAGTACTGGAAGTGTTAGCCATTGCAATTCGGCAAGAAGAAGAAATAAAAGGCATCCAAATTGGAAAAGAGGAAGTAAAACTGTCCTTATTTGCAGACGACATGATATTATACATACAAAACCCTAGAGACTCCATCAAAAAGCTACTGGACTTAATACATGAATTTGGCAATGTAGCAGGATACAAAATTAACCCCAAGAAATCCGAGGCATTTCTATACACCAATAGTGAACTTTCAGAAAGAGAGATTATAAAAACAATCCCGTTTACCATCGCACCAAAAAAATTAAGCTACCTAGGAATAAACTTAACTAAAGAGGTAAAAGACCTCTACTCAGAAAACTACAGGACGTTGAAAAAAGATATAGAGGAAGACATAAACAGATGGAAGAACATACCGTGTTCATGGATTGGTAGAATCAACATCATTAAAATGTCCATACTACCCAAAGCAATCTATAAATTCAACGCACTTCCCATTAAAATACCAACGGCATACTTCAGAGATCTAGAACGAACTCTCCAAAAATTCATCTGGAATAAAAAAAGACCTCGAATAGCTGCAGCAATCCTGAAAAAGACCAAAGTAGGTGGGATCTCAATACCAGATATCAAGATGTATTACAAAGCCACTGTTCTCAAAACTGCCTGGTACTGGCACAAGAATAGGCATATAGATCAATGGAATAGAATAGAGAGCCCAGAAATCGGCCCGAACCAATATGCTCAATTAATATTTGACAAAGGAGGCAAGAACATACAATGGAGCCAAGATAGTCTCTTCAATAAATGGTGCTGGGAAAATTGGACAGATATATGCAAGAAAATGAAACTAGACCACCAACTTACACCATACACAAAAATAAACTCAAAATGGATAAAGGACTTAAATGTACGACAGGAAACTATAAAAATTCTAGAAGAATCCAAAGGCAACAAAATCTCAGACATATGCCGAAGCAATTTCTTCACTGATACAGCTCCTAGGGCACTTGAAACTAAAGAGAAAATGAACAAATGGGACTACATCAAAATAAAAAGCTTCTGCACAGCAAAAGAAACCATCAACAAAACAACGAGAAAACCCACTGTGTGGGAAAACATATTTGCCAATGTCATATCCGATAAGGGCCTAATCTCCAAAATTTATAGGGAACTCATACAACTTAACAAAAGGAAGATAAACAATCCAATCAAAAAATGGGCAAAGGACCTAAATAGACACCTTTCAAAAGAGGACATTCAGAAAGCCAAGAGACATATGAAAACATGCTCAAAGTCACTAATCATCCGAGAGATGCAAATCAAAACAACAATGAGGTACCATCTCACACCTGTCAGACTGGCTATCATCAACAAATCAACAAACGACAAGTGCTGGAGAGGATGTGGAGAAAAAGGAACACTTGTGCACTGCTGGTGGGAATGCAGACTGGTGCAGCCACTATGGAAGACAGTATGGAGTTTCCTTAAAAAACTGAAAATGGAACTCCCATTTGACCCTGTGATCCCACTTCTAGGAATATATCCCAAGAAACCAGAAACACCAATCAGAAAGGATATATGCACCCCTATGTTCATAGCAGCACAATTCACCATAGCTAAGATCTGGAAACAGCCTAAGTGCCCATCAGTAGATGAATGGATTAGAAAACTGTGGTACATCTACACGATGGAATACTATGCTGCTCTAAAAAGGAAGGAACTCTTACCATTTGCAACGTCATGGATGGAACTGGAGAGCATTATGCTAAGTGAAATAAGCCAGTCAATGAAGGAAAAATACCACATGATCTCACTCATTCATGGATAATAGAGACCATTATAAACTTTTGAACAATAATAGATACAGAGGCAGAGCTCCCTCAAACAGATTGTCAAACTGCAGCAGGAAGGCCGGGGAGGGTTGCGGGGCAGGAGGTAGGGGGGTAAGAGATCAACTAAAGGACTTGTATGCATGCATAGAAGCATAACCAGTGGACATAAGACATGGGGGGATAGGGGAGGCTAGGGGACTGTCTAGGGCGGGGGGATAAAATGGACACATATGTAATACCCTTTGTAATACTTTAAGCAATAAAAAAAAAAAAAAATTAAAAAAAAAAAAAAAAAAAAAAAAAAATTTACAGGTCTGGGGCAAAGCAAGTATCTCCAGTGAACAACAACAAAGCAACCTACAAATAAAGCAAAATTGAAAAGCAATGAAAGTTTCCAGAAGAAATGTGATCATTTATGCACAACTCTCAAAAAACTTTTGACACCCATATTTAAAAAAAAACAAAAATTAACTTTATATTTCAGGAAATGGGCAGAGAACACCCGCACCAAGTGAAAATCAGGTGCAAAGGAAGGCACATCAAGTGACAGATGGACACATCATCACTAATACCAATTTTATACAAAATTCATTCCACAAATACCTCCTATACTGTATAAATCTTACAGAGCATTTAAAGAATAAAGCATCCATGCCAATGTAGAGAGCAAGTCACTGCTAATGAGTTTTCTTTTGCAGAACTTTCTGATCTAATCCCGGCCACTAAGGCCATCCTGGTTAAAGGTGCTTTGTCTCAATCCTGTTCTGCACAGCAGATGTTGCAGACATAGGAAATGTAAAACCTGCATGTCCCTTCTGCAAACATCATCTCAATAAGGAACTCGGATATCAATGCCTTCCCATGTTGAACTGTGGCAAAGAAAATGTTTTGAAAAGTTGAAGATAGGGGTTCAGAACAAGGCACCCTAAGATGTGCTTCAATGGTACATGCATTATGTTGAGCTGAAGGCATCAAGACCCTTTGGGTTCAAGAGAAACTTCTGCTCTCCCCCTTAACTACCTAGAAGAATTTAAATGATGAGCGTGACCTGTGATATAAGGTAAACCAAAAATGACATTTGAACTACCTAGATGGTAAGGAACCTAGGATTTCCTGAACATGTGATTTCCTGGCAACAATATTCTAAAGTCCCAAGGTGCATTACCTCATCCCAGGCTCAGAATGTCTTAGATGCTAAATTTCCCTTTCAGTCTCTGAACCTCTCTTGCATGTGGGGTCTCTGACTCTGTCATGTGTGTGCAGCTCCCATACATATCCCCTTTCTGATTAGGCCAGCTGAGAGAACTTTGAAGGTAGAAGAAAGTACCTTCTTCCCACACAATGGTCATTAACTTATGGTGAGATTCCTATGGGGGACCTGGATGGACACAATAGACAGAAAGCTGTGGACAAAAACGCAGAGGTAGCTGACTTTATCTGCCTCCTAAAGGCCTGCTTCCTTGCAGATGTTGAAACTGCTGACCCACATGAGCAGTTGATGAAGGCTTGACTGCTACATGACCTTCTTCAGGTGGCTCTAGTGACTACGCTGCCATCTCTCCCCCACAGCGCAGGCGCTAACAACCAGACAACCCCATTGGAAAAGGAAGTAACTGCACCCTGAAATGGAAATCTCCACCAGCAGGCCTTTTTCAAACCACCCTCCTATGTGTCCCAAGCTTGTCAGGGCCGCCAAGCAGCGCCAGCCCCTCAGCAGCTCAGGGGCCCTTCCTTTCTTCTGTGTTGTCTCCCTTATGAAAGAGCATAAGCCTAAGAAAATTTCCCAAGATATATCTCTAGAGGTTCCTCTTGATTTCTATCTTGGGGAACCCATAACCCCAAGCGACAGTCACAGTTTAAAGAGGGAACTTATAGAATCACAAAGAAAAAAAGTAAGCAGGTGAAAACAACTTCGTGTTGCAGGATCATCAGAAATAGAGAAACAAAGGTCTGCACCATCTAAATACATGAACTTTGGAAGGAAAAGCAGACACAGAACTGAGCCAAGACAGAGCGCTTACCTGAGAAGCAGCCATACTGTCCTCTTCCTCCTCCTGCTCTGGGTTGTTTTCTCAGGCGACTTTATGTTGACCAATCACACCTGCATCTGGAGAAGATATGCCGTGCTTCCACCACACTCACAGGCAGAAGGACTTGAATGATGAAAAATCTCACACTCCCATGCCCTTTGACACAGGAGAGATTAAGAAACAATGAGATGCTACATGAAGATCAAACTGTTTTTCTCTCCTGTCTTCTCTTGCTCTCCCCTCCAACAGACACGCCCAAATTCCAACCCAGCAATGAGAAAGTGGGCTGCACTTCTGTTCCTCCCAAACCCAAGAGAGGACCCTGGACCAAAGCCCATTGTCAACTCTCACAAATGCACTGGGGCAGGGAGCCCTTCTGCTAAACCCTGGCCACACTTTTGAATCACCTGGAGCACCACACTAAAATGACCACGATGTTCTACCCAGACCGGCTGTTCAACTCTGAGGGGGAGGCACAGGCAGTGTTATTTCTTACAACTCGTCAAGTGGTCGAATGGGAGGGGACCACCTAGCGAAGCATTTCTTCTGCAGCTTTAACGTGCACACAGAACCGTGGGGATCAAGGTTTCACTCTAAAAAGTTATGATTCTGTAGAGCTGCAGTGAGGCCCATGAAATAGCATCTTTACTTAGTGCTCTGGTGGAGGTGACCTGCTGTAGGTAGCACTGGGCGAGAGAGACTAGACCTAACACACCCAAGCCCTGTGCGTAGTGTGAGGGGTTGGGGCAGGAACTTCTACAGGGCAGCCTCCCAGGGTGGATCCCTAGAGATGGGGTTGTCCTGGAATGGGTTTCGCCAGGCCTGTAGCTACTGTGCAGATGCAACAGGGGAGAAGACAAAACTTGGTGGCAACAGGGCTCTGCAAAAATCCTGCCCTCAAAATCCTTCCACGGCCCGAACCAATATGCTCAATTAATATTTGACAAAGGGGGCAAGAACATACAATGGAGCCAAGATAGTCTCTTCAATAAATGGTGCTGGGAAAATTGGACAGATATATGCAAGAAAATGAAACTAGACCACCAACTTACACCATACACAAAAATAAACTCAAAATGAATAAAGGACTTAAATGTACGACGGGAAACCATAAAAATTCTAGAAGAATCCAAAGGCAACAAAATCTCAGACATATGCTGAAGCAATTTCTTCACTGATACAGCTCCTAGGGCACTTGCAACTAAAGAGAAAATGAACAAATGGGACTACATCAAAATAAAAAGCTTCTGCACAGCAAAATAAACCATCAACAAAACAACGAGAAAACCCACTGTGTGGGAAAACATATTTGCCAATGTCATATCTGATAAGGGCCTAATCTCCAAAATGTATAGGGAACTCATACAACTTAACAAAAGGAAGATAAACAATCCAATCAAAAAATGGGCAAAGGACCTAAATAGACACCTTTCAAAAGAGGACATTCAGAAAGCCAAGAGACATATGAAAACATGCTCAAAGTCACTAATCATCCGAGAGATGCAAATCAAAACAACAATGAGGTACCATCTCACACCTGTCAGACTGGCTATCATCAACAAATCAACAAACGACAAGTGCTGGAGAGGATGTGGAGAAAAAGGAACACTTGTGCACTGCTGGTGGGAATGCAGACTGGTGCAGCCACTATGGAAGACAGTATGGAGTTTCCTCAAAAAACTGAAAATGGAGCTCCCATTTGACCCTGTGATCCCACTTCTAGGAATATATCCCAAGAAACCAGAAACACCAATCAGAAAAGAAATATACACCCCTATGTTCATAGCAGCACAATTCACCATAGCTAAGATCTGGAAACAGCCTAAGTGCCCATCAGTAGATGAATGGATTAGAAAACTGTGGTACATCTACACGATGGAATACTATGCTGCTCTAAAAAGGAAGGAACTCTTACCATTTGCAACGGCATGGATGGAACTGGAGAGCATTATGCTAAGTGAAATAAGCCAGTCAATGAAGGAAAAATACCACATGATCTCACTCATTCATGGATAATAGAGTCCATTAGAAACTTTGAACAATAATAGATACAGAGGCAGAGCTGCCTCAAACAGACTGTCAATCTGCAGTGGGAAGGCCGGGGAGGGTGGCGGGACAGGAGGTAGGGGGGTAAGAGATCAACCAAGGACTTGTATGCATGCATATAAGCATAACCAATGGACATAAGACACTGGGGGATAGGGGAGGATAGGGGACTGTCTGGGGGGGGGGGAGGGGCGGGGAAATGGACACATATGTAATACCCTTTGTATTACTTTAAGCAATAAAAAATAAATAAATAAATAAATAAAGTAAAAAGTAAAAAAAAAAAAAAATCCTTCAAAATGCCACCCAGTCCCCTTTGCCCACACCCCTCCCATGGGACAACGTATAACAGGACAATCTCCCTCATCCCCTGTCCATAGGTGAATGGAGCCTCAATCCCTAAGGGACAAGGGGTAGAAAAAGTGTTTCCATCACAGCTGTATTTGCAAATGAAGTAAAGGAGCATACTCTAGAAGCCTGTCAAGACATGAGATTGTTTGTATCACATTCATGTTCACTTTCTCTAACTGTACCCCCAAACACATTTTAATCGTTGCTCTTGTTAATGTAAGAACACCACATGAGATCTACCGTCTCAATATTTTAATATATATTTTTATTGATTTCAGAGAGGAAGGGACAGGAAGAGAAAAGATAGAACATCCATGATAAGAGAGACTCCCTCCCGTAGGCCGACATTGGGGATCGAGCCAGCAACCTGGGCACGTGCTCTGACCCGGAATTGAACCACGATCTCCTAGTTCATAGGTCGACACAACTACTAAGCAACACTGGCCAGGCTTAATGAAATTTTAAGTGTACAATACAATAGTGTTAACGGGCAAAATGTTGTACAGTGGATCTCTGAGACTTATTCATCTCTGATAAATCAAAATCTGTATCGCTGAATAGCAACTCCCATTTCCACTCTCCTCTGCCTGTGGCAACGCTAATCTTTCCTCTAATCTTTGTTCCTATGGGTTTGACTCTGTTGTGAGAATTCTGAACCTGTATTTATACTGTGTTTATACATTAAAAGTACTTTCTATGGCATATAGGTTAGTAGTCATATTCTTAAATTTGAGGCAGAAAATATGATTAAAATAAACTCTAAATTTATAGTTGAAACAAACATAATTATTATGAAAGAAACAGAAAACAAATTCCTGAAACACAAGAGATTGACTCTAATAAACCTTAATGCATCCCCAAAATCTTCATGTGGAAATTTATGCTTTTACTGCAGAGAAGCAAATCCATAGGCCCAAGTCATTATTTCTCATTAACATTGTTTTTGGGAATAAAAAATTAGTACCTTTTCCCTCTATGCATATCTCTGTGACCAGAATTTCCCCTGTTAATAAGGACAACAGGAATATTGGAGGAGGGCCCACAGTTAATGTCTTTAATTTAAGTTGATTATTTTGTTTAGGATCCATTCTTTAAATGGGGTAATATCCCAAGGCAGTGGATAAGATTTCAACATATGATTTTTGAGAGACCCAACTGAACCCTTCATGGTAAATTTTACATGGGTGGGTGTGTAAGTGTGTGTGTGTATATAT